CTGCAGCCTGCACAGTCAGCTGTGCTCCTCAGCCCCGTGCTGCAGCCAGCAGAGCCCTCTTGGCTCCGTTGCAGAGCCTTGCCCTCCCCTCTGCTCCATGCTGTGCCCTGTCTCACCCCTCAGCTCCGAGGTGCACGCCTGAAGAGCAGCAGACCGCTATGCTAAACACTGTAGGCAACTTGATAAAAATACGGAACCAACTGTGGTGCAGTACAAGCATCTACACATCTAGATATATCTAAACGTAGAAATAGTTCTAGAGCCACAGCATTCAAGGTTTTGTTGTTGTTGGGTTGGTTTGGTTTGGTTTGGTTTGGTTTGGTTTTGGTTTTGGTTTTTTGAGACAGGGTTTCTCTGTGTAACCCTGGCTGTCCTGACTCTCTTTGTAGACCAGGCCGGCCTTGAATTCGCAGAGATCCTCCTGCCTCTGCTTCCCTGAGTGCTGGGATTACTGGAGTGTGCCACCCCGCCAGTGAACATTCAAGTTTTACCTAAGGTGTGGCGGTGGGAAGCCGCTCAGCAATGAGGAGACTTACTGCTCTTATAAAGGGTCCAAGTTCAGTTCCCAGCAAACCTCTGGCCTCCACACACTTGTGCACCCATGACTAAACACACACATACACACAGGGCAGGGGGATAAAACCCTAAAGTATTTTTGCTCCTCCGTCTCACACTCATTTTGTTAGTGAAGCGACAAGCACCGTTACAGTGCACTGTGGGGAGAAATCGCCGCAGGAACAACACGGAAGATGCTTGTGGGCAATCCTCCCTCTCGGCCACGTCCTAGAGTTCTGCTCTACACCCCAGGGGCTGAGCAGCGGTCTCACCCGAAGACTCATTCTTGCTCCTCAGCCCCCACACTCATGGGCAAGCATTGATGTAATGAAGCTGGAAGTGTCTTCTGGAAAAAAGACCCTAAACAAACACTGAAGGTACTTTTCCTTCCCCACCCCAAGGCCTTCCGAGCCTGCGGCAGAGAAAAGAAACATGGCAAGGGAGAGATGAAATCAGAGTCCTTAGGGGTCTCCCCAGGAGGCATCGCAGGGTGAGCCTGCTGTGGCTTTGATGAGATAAAGCATGGAGCTTCCTGTCCTGTGCCAACCACATCCTTCTCTTGGGCACACAATAAAAGGAGAAAGAAACAGAAATCAGGGAGATGCGGCTGCCCTGTAGCTCCCCTCATGCACTCAGGCACATTCTCCAAGACAGAGGACAAGTATGATGTTCACACACACACACACACAAGAAAGCCCATGATGGAGTCATCACCAACATCCCGACACAAACAGACATTTTCTCTTCTCTCCTGTTGCCCCACGTCACTAGGCACAGCACCCGCGATGGCATGCGCCTGACGGGTTTGTGGGTTACGGGCAGGCAGGTGACAAGTCAGCATGCCTCCTTCACAGCAGATTCGCCAGCTGTTTCTAGCCAGTCAAGAAAGTTCAACCTGCCACTGAGAGGGTGATGTTCCAATGTGCTCTGAAATCTGTAGACCAACAGGGCGGCGGGCGGGCCAGCCAGCTGTGCCAGGGCACAGGCTCTCAGAGCAGTCAACCACACAACACCCAGGGCGAAGGGGGCAGAGAAGAGGGGACAGACAGACAGATGTAGGGAGGAAGATGAGAGCAGACACAGATTCAAACTCACCTTTATCGTAATCACCACCCTCGATGGCTTTTTCTTGAAGTTTCTGGAGTTTTAAGCTTAAGGAAGTGACCTGTGTTGGTTTGAAGGGGAAATATAAAAAAATAAATTACATATCAGAAATTAAGAAATACATATAAGAAATACATTACAAATAAATTCCAGTTCATTTTGTGAAATCTAAGAGCACCTGAAAACTGCTTCAAATGTGGTCTGTCAAGATGGTTGGATAGACCCTTGCTGCTGAGCCAGGACTGACAGAACTTCCTCAAGTTGGTCTCTGACTTCTACCTCACAGGCACTACCAACCCACACATGTGCACAGATTTTAAAATGTAATGAAAAATCAAAATCCTGAAAAGCATTTTTAAAGATTTGTGGATTCGTGCAATTTATGCATATGGGCACTCTATTTGCATGTGTGTCTGAATGTCAGAAGAGGGCATCAGAGCCCAGTGCAGATGGTTGCGAGCCACCATGGGTGCTGGGACTTGAACTCAGGTCCTCTGGAGAGCAGCCGGTGCCCTTCACCAATGAGCCAGCTCTCAGCCCCAAGCAATACCATTTTTTAAATTTATTTATTTTTATTTTACGTACATTGGTGTTTGAGTACAAGTATGTTTATGTGTGGGTGACAGATTCCCCTGGACTTACAGACAAGACAGTTGGGAGCCACCATGTGGGTGCTGGAAATTGAACCCGGGACCTCTGGAAGAGCAGCCAATGCTCTTAACCACTGAGCCATCTCTCCAGCCCAGCAATGCCAGTTTTTAAAAAGAAAGCTATTTCAAAAGTGAAATAGTTCTATTTAAACTATTAAAGTTCTATTTAAACTATTTATTAAAAAAGAAGAGGAAAAAACCCCACACACAAATGCCAAATGTATGTTTCTTTAAAAAAAAAAAAGTTACTTGAACAAAAAGCATAATTTAATCATGAACCCCCCAGAAAGACTTAGGATGTTACAAATCCCACGATGCTCTCCACACGAGAGCTACGGAGAGAAGAAACAGGCTACAGGCCAACGGCCTTACCCCTCAGCGCAAAGCCCCCCAGGGGGGCCGCGCACAGGCCACAGCTGTCTCCAGCCTGGCCATCCAGGAAGGGCGGCACCCTTCTTCCTTGAAGGTGCTGTCTTGGGCTGGGCGGGTAGCTCAGTGGTTTGTGCCTAGCATGCACAAGGCCCTAGTTCTGTCCCCCACACAGGAAGTGTAGGAAGGGGAGCAGAAAGGAAGGTGGAGTGCTGGAGGTTCGAACGAGGAAGTGGGAGCCACCGGCAGCCCCCCCCCCCCCCGAAGAACTTCCTACAGGGCCGTGCCGGCACTAAACACTGACGCTTCCAAACGCCGACCCTGGCAGCCGGGGACGTGGACCGGCGTGCAAAGCACTGAGTCCAACGCTCAGATCCCACAGAGCTGGGCACAGCGACCCACGCTTTTAGCTCCGGCTCGAGGGAAGAAGAGACCGGAGGATCTCTGCAGCTCACTGACCCAACCAGTGTGCCCCAGCACTGTGACAGGAAGTGAGGATGGCACCCAAGACTGTCCTCCGGCCCCCACACACACACATATACACATATCACACACCACATATACACAGATGCCTGTACATACACCACACACACACACACACACACACACATCACACACACACATCACACACACACACACACACACATCACACACACACACATCACACACACACACATACACATATCACACACACACACATATCACACACACACACACATATATCACACACACACACATACACATACACATACACACACACACACACACACATACACACACATACACACACTCACATATCACACACACACACACATACACACACACACATACACACACACACACACATACACACACACATTCACAGTCTCTTGGTAGGAGGAGCCACACAGTCCATGGGCAAGAAGCCAGGGAAGGTCAGAGTTCCCCTCCCTAACTTCTCACCCTTTCCAAACCTGAGCAGACCGTCCTTCACCCCCTCCCCAGCATCTTATCACATTTATACTGTGGGGCAAGGGGCAGTGACAGCCATCAGCTCCCCCCCTCCACCATCCGGGCCTTGGGGAATCGAACTCCTGGAGAGACAGCCCTGCCCTGTCGGCTCAGTCTGCCATCCCAGGAGTCCCTAGGGCTCCCAGGACCAGCACCCGCCACCCGCTCCCTGCCCCCCCCCCGCGGCCCACTCCCTGCCTCCCCCCCGCTGAGCTGGGGCGGCAGACTGCGGAGGGCACGCACCTCCAGCTGCCGGCGGTGGCTCCATAGGCAGCCCTGCAGCACCGGCTCCCAGTCCTTGAGCAAAGCGTGCCACCCACGGGCAGCCCAGGCACAGCCACCCGGGTCCTCCGCCCCGCCAGCAGCCTGGGAAGAGAGGCCAGCGTCCCGGGAGGAGACCAGGCAGCATTCCAGCTCGCTGGGGCTCCCTGTCCCCTCAGCCGAGTCCGCCGAGGCCGGAGGAGCTTGAAGACTGGAGGTCCGGAGGGGTCGGGGGTCCTCGTGGGGCCCCGGGTCAGGTGCCTCGGCTGCCATGGCTTGGGGGCTCTGATAAAGCAGTTCGGCCTCTCGGCGTGGCAGGCACCCTTCTGCCTCTCCGCGCTGCCCCGCGGCACGGAGCGAGAGGCGGATGAAGCTGAAGCTGGAAGTGAAGGGGTCTTGGGAGCCGGGAAGGACTGGGGTGTAAGAGGGGCCATTCAACCCCGGTGATGGGGGACGTTTCTCGGTCTTCGGGGCCCTCGATCCCTCGCTCCAGGCTGCGTGGACGACAGGGCCCAGGGACTTGGAGCTGCCTGAAGATAAACACTCTTGCCAACACCCTCCGTCGCCAGGCCTGCACGGCCCGGTCAGCCTCTCGGGCAGACTGCTGTCATCCCTGGAATGAGCCGCGAAACGCGCTGGCGCTCCTCTCATGGAGCCCTGGGCTGAGTGCGGGGGGCCCGAAGAGGCCACGGCAGGGGCAAGTGAGCCCTTGAGAGAAGGGCCGCCCACCAGTGAGCCCTGGCACTGGGTGTCGGGGCCCAGGCCACAGTGTCCAGCCTTGGACGCCTGGCCCATCGGCCCTGCTGAGGTCTGGCATGAAGTGCCCGCTGCTGGAGAGAGGAACCCGATCCCGGCCCCGGCGGTGCTTCTCATGTAGCCTGGCCTCCGCGTCAGCCGCCGCCTCTGAGGGGCCGCTGCAGGCAATGAGCCATGCCCACCGTCTGAGGGGAGAAAAGAAAACAGCCCCCGTTATTGACGCCATAAGAAGTGCGGTGAGGACGTGCCAGACACACAGGCCATCCGTGAGCACACCCATCAAAGACGCAGCAGGAAACTCCCAAGCCAGGTACCATGGGACGCTCCCATAAGAGTTGGGACGTGAAGGCACAAAGATCAGGAGAGCGAGGTCATCCTAAGCAACACAGGGAGTTCAAAGCTAGCCTGAGCTACACAACACCCTATCTTAAAAAATTAAAAGAAGGCTGGGGCTCCTCCCCGGGTGTCAAGCTCAGCCCAGGGGCCAGCCCTGTGCTGGCAGAGCATGCGGCCCGCTGCGTGTCTGACAGGGTCTGTTCAGGCCCTGGGCACCACCTTGGTGTCTCCCCAGTAGCTGTCCTAGTGCCAATGCCACATCCACACATCCCTCCAGGGGAGGGCATGGAAAGCGAGCCACTGGCACTCTGTCCTTCTCCGTCACTCCTGAATGACACCTGAATATGTGTTACCTAACTAGCCATGTCCCCACGTTCCCAGGTTCCTCCTTCGGCCTTGGTGGCTGGCTGTGGCCAGTGTGGACGACAGGGGCCGAGTCCTCACCTAGCTTACCCTGCAGAAATAGCAACAGCAGCTAACACTGCCCCCTCACGGTCTGGTCCCAGCCCGCCCGTGTCACCTGCCGACTGCATAACCGGCCAGGTCAGGTTGCTAGGAAGATTTCCAGGCTTCCACAACCAAAGTGTGACACACACATACACACTCTCTCACACATACACACACACACATTTTCTTTTTTTTTCCTGCTTTTATTTGTTCCACTTTTGCCTCTTTTTTTTTTTTTTAGGGAGTCTTTGAAGTTGCTGGGACCACAAATCAGTTCTCACTCATATATCCTTCCTGAAGCATGACCTCATTGGTTGCTGTGGCCTGCAGCTGAGGAAGGGCAGCTGGAGAAGGCCACTTCCTCCTTACACTAAGCAGTCAGCTCCGGAAAGAGGCTCAGCCTGACAGGAAGGAGAGAGAGGCACCGTGAGAGTGAGGCCCAAAGTGCGGGCTTCTCCATGGGGTAGCCAGGAAACAGATGTGCTCACCCTGCCATGGAAAACCAGAGAGAGCTTTATTCTGTCCAGGTGGGAAGGGCTGAGCCAGGAGAGCAGCCTGGACCTGCCTCTTTTGCAGCCTCCCACTCCAGAAGAGATGATTCCAGGGAGCAGAGTGCAAAACCTTGCCTCCACTCCCAGCCCAAACCACCGGACAGAACCCACCTCCCGCCACATCCCCCAGCCCATGGCTCCGGACTGAAGAGAAGGTACACACAGGTGCCTGAAACCAACCCTGACATCAAAGGGCCTCTCTGAACAGCCCAACAAGTCCCTGAAGCCCCTGGCTGAGAGGACGTTGGGAGAGGGAGGTGGATGAGTGGGGGAGGAGGTGAGTTCCCAGGGAGGCAGCTCCAAATCCAAGAACTAATGCTGCAAACAGTGAGTCACAGTTAAAATGACCTGGAAGGCAGCAGGCCGCGCCTGTGCCACTGAAGACCAATGACGGCAAGAGCTTTGAACTGGCCAAAGAACTACAGGACAAGAAATGGGGCTGTGTGCCCTGGCCTACAGCTGGCCAAAGCTGAACTGTCAGCTCTCGGTGCTAAGCACAGTGGCTTTCTCTTATCTCCAACACCCACTGAGTTTGCGGCCACACAGAGGAGCCTTTACCTGACCACAACATTTAAAAGCATTAATATAAAGAGGTTAATTATTTCTCCCTCTGTTGCCCTGAGAAGGTGAACTCGAACCTGTGCCAGAGGGTCTCTTCATCGTGGGCTGAGCATGGTGTCCACGCTACCGAAATAAAAACCTCACAGGAGCAGAGCAGAGGGAGGAGCTGAGCCGTGGGGAGCGAGGACTGAGGAGCTCTCGACTGTTCGCTGGAGACACGGATGGAGCTCACCGAGCTCTGGGGAGAGGATTGCACGTTCAGCCCTCGGTGATGGGTGCTCAGTGTGAACCCAAAGCGACAGGGAACTTCAGGACGCGTCGAAAAGCTCGCTCCTACCTTGCTATCGACATCACACACAGAGGTGCTACAGAGCTGGCTTAGCTAAGAAGGCAGGATGGGAGAGATGGTTCAGGGGTTAGAGCACTGGATGCTCTTCCAGAGGACCTGGGTTCAGTTCCCTGTTCATAGCAGCTCATGACTGTGTGTAAATTCAGTCCCAGAGGATCCAATGCCCTCTCTTGGACTCTCCTGGACTCTCCTGGACTCTCCTGGACTCTGGGACTCATGTCACATAACCGCCTACAGCACATTCATACACAATTTTAAAATGAATAAAAGTATTTAATATTACAGCACAGAAATGCTACAAATAAAATAGCAAACTGCTCTGCCAGTGCCCATGCCTGCAGAGGAGCACAGTGTCCATCCTAAACCTGGCTCACCAGGATGGGGGACTGTGGGGACCAAAACCCCAGATCCTGGGTACACCTGTGAGGACTGGACTATTACAGGTGGGGAGCTCCGCCTTTAACCTGGCAGCCCCTTCTGGTGGCATCCTAGAAAGGACTCGGAAGACGCTGTTGCTCTTTGACTGCGTGCCCTCACTCTCCCTGCCGGCTTCAGTCCTTCACTGGCGAAAGAGCCTGTTTCTTCGGGATTCCAACTCACACTGATGGCCTCCCAGACATCCAGCACTGTGGGCTAAGTGACTACTGTGTTCTTAGACTTCAATCAGGAGACAACCATTGCTGGCCGGTCAGACTGCAGCCTGTAGGCCACTCGGATAAATCTGCTTTTACAGGGGAAAGTCATTCTATCGTTCCGTTTCTCTAGAGAACCCTGACTAATACGGTAACCAAAAAGAAGGTTCCAGAACTCAGAGAGAAGTGATGCTGTCACACACCTCTCTCTCTTCTCCCAGAGATGTCCACCAAAAAGGGTAAGAGTCAAATCCAGTTGACTATTACCTGCTAACTCCTAACAGAATATTTTGCAGAGCATGATCTTGGAATTTTGCTTCTCCTAGTCTACTCCAAGGCTTCAGTTAATTTTCTCCAGGATATGTTCAGGACTTTTTACTGTGCTAACACACACACAACAAAGTAGTTTTCCATTCCTACCATGTATAAATGCTGAATCCAATGGTGTTGAGTGCATTCACTGTACTGTCCAGCCATTGCTACCATCTGTCATCTCCCAGACTGAAACATGGTCCCCATCAAAGACTGGCACCCTCTCCCCTCCCCCAGACTCTGGTGAACACTGTTCTGCTTTCTTTCTGCACAGCCAGAGCCCAAGTCTGCTCAAGAGTTGGAAGTCCATCTGGAAGCCTGTTTTCCCAGCAGGAGGGAAATCCCAATCTCTCGGAGACCATTGTCCCAATAGCCCAGGACAGGGGCAGAAGTGTCTCTTCAGATTATCTTTGCTCCTCCAAAATAATTATTAGAGTGTCCCGTGGCGTGACCTCATGGTCCCTTGGTCTCTGCCCTCCCCTGACCAAGAAAGAGCTCCCCAGCTCTGACCCAGCTTTCTGGGGCTGGCGTCCTCCCCTTTCAGACCTGGAGCACTGACTGGAGTTAGTGCTCGACAGGGGTCAGTTCAAGTTCCCTTAAAAGAGCAGCACCCGTCAGGCTCAGTGGCGCATGCCTTTAATCCCAGCACTCAGGAGGCAAAGGCAGGAGGATCTCTATGGGTTCAAGGCCAGCCTGGTCTACAGAGATCCAGGACAGCCAGGGCTACACAGAGAAACCCTGTCTTGGAAAACAACAGCACCCACACTGAAGATTTCACAAGACTGACTGACTTGTTAGAGCCCTTCATGGCTATGAGGAGTCGGAAGGTTAAAGATCCAGAGCCAAACTGATGTCCTCCCTCACACCTCGACAGCATCTCTTCAGCCCGGATGGACAGCTGTTCCCATTTTTCGCTGTGTGACGATGAAAAATGCGCCCTTCAGGACAACCCAAATCCATGCCCCCGGCATCCGTGCCCCAGCCATGCCACGCGTATCAGGTTCAGAACAAATGCTTGTACTCCTCAAGTGAGCACTGCGCCGGCCTTTCCCAGGCAGCCTCCCTCTGCTGAGCTATTCGTTCTCATAAATGGCCGCCTTCCGCTGTGCGTGTAAAGTGCTACTCGGGAAATCCGGCCTCTCTCTGAGCCCCCAAGAATGCTGCTGGCTGCAGATGGGTGTCTCTGATGAATCTTTTAACTGCTGCCTAATGAAATATGGATGAGCCAGAAGGCGCCCTCTCTGTTGCTCTTATCTCCCAACAACTCAGCAACTTGGGTTTCTGGCCATATGTTTGCGCTTGAGCAAAGAGCAGCCCGCTCCAGCATCCGGGCTCACAAAAGAACCTCTGCACAGGTCATCTGCAAAGTTCTCCCCTCCCTCTCTAAGGCCACGATTTGTGCAAGAGCTCCTTTGCAGGGCTCGGTAAATGCCCCGCTTTGCACGACAACTTGGAGATGTGTTTATTAACAAAATAACAAACTATCAGCGCGGCGCGTGTCAATTCTTCCCTGGAGGCTGCAGCGCCTTCCAAGCGAGCCCCTGCTTTGTGCTTCATTTTCATAATGCTCAGAGCTAAGTCCACATCAAAGGCCCATGGCCATCTTAATGCCTGACCCAAAAGATGGCTTGCCAAGAGCATCGAACGGTCCTGCCAGGAAAGTGTTTGGATGCCCTTTCCCCGTGCCAGCTCTGGCCCCTGGTACAGGCGTGTGAGGACAGAGGAAGAGTCAGCCTGCGGGAGGCCAGGCTGAAGTGGGGCCAGCGAAGTGCTGAGCTGCAGCAGCTTGCTGAGGTGTGACTGGGTGGGCGCTGTGACTGATGGGCTGATATGAGCTAACACAATTAACTGTCTTCTCCAACTGTCGGAACACAGCCCCAAAATGGAGTGGTGCAAGGGGAATT